CTATTCCCACCGAAGAGGTTCAAACAAGTGGGATGTGCACCCGGCCATTTTATCTTATGGCCAGCTTCATTAACAAGACCCATCCCAACACATGCACAGAGTTGATTTATGCATTGAACGATAGTACTTATTATTTTTTGATAGGTTGATGTATATTAATGTTATTGATTTTTGGTACTTGTATAGAAAGAGGCCGAAAAAGCAAAGGAAGTTGTGCATGAATCACCACCACCACCATCTCGCTTTACAACGAGTCTGTGCAGACCGGCAACGACTATCGGGACCACTCTCATACAGCTAGATATGCCACCCGAAGTCGTATGCAGGACCAAGACGATCCCTTTTTTCTTACTCCAAAGGGATATTTTTGATATTCTCGCTGGTACCGATATGCTATGTGTATCGAGTGTTGCAGCTTTGGGAAATGTAAGTATATTTACATATTTTTTATATTCTCACCGGTACATTATTTTATAACTTTATTTATTTTCAATGTTGAAGGTATTTACATCATTTGTGTGTTGAGAGGAAGATCCGCTTTCTCTATGGATTTCTTGACCTCGTTGCCATTCAGATCCGTTGGGAATAAAGTCAAGAGGTGCAAACGTACTTAATAGAGGCATTTCAAACTAGGGGCAAAGAAGTCTACTTAGCACCTTACTTGCATCAGTAAGTATACATCTTATAAATTAATGCACATTTATGTAAAACTGAAATTTTACTAATATTATTTCAACGTGCAGGGGTCATTGGCAGCTCATAATCATTGTTCCTCGGCAATTTGTTGTGATTCTCTTGTGTTCATTACACAAGAAACCAAATGATTTGGATATTAGAAAGCAAATAGACGCGTAAGTTTGGTTTTTTTAATTGTTGTATCATATGTGCACTACTTACACCAAAATTATTTGTCCTTTTGTAGAGCTTTGGAAGCTCACCTAAGGTTGCAAGGCCTTCCATCTCATGCTAGAAAGAAATTGACGTATATTGCACCAAAGGTGACCAAACACCTCTTATCGTTGTTCAATTTGTCATTTAAAGTTAATCCGACATGTATTTAACTTGTAGTGTCCACGCCAACCGGAAGCCATGAGTGCGGGTATTATGTGATGAAACACATGCACACCATCATAGCCAAAAATATTCTTGACACGTGGAGGGAGGTAAATATACTATAATTAAGTCAAATATGCCAATTATGTAAATGATTTCTAAATCTGAAATGTTTCAATATGTAGGAATTTACGTACTCATCTCCAATGAAGATTGAAGTCTTAGACGATATTAGAGAGCAAGTGGGCTTTTTTCCTTTTAAGCATTCAATCTTCATAGGAAATTTGACTTGTAACAATTTAGATTGAATTGATTTAAGTTAGGAAATTTACATTCGTTTAAGTAAATGAACTGTCTGGAACTCGGATCTCGTCTCGTACATATATTGATTTCAATGTGTTTCATATGTACATATCTCGTCTGCAATGTGATCTGTCTGCATCGGATATATATCTCGTAGCAAATTTATATATGAACTGTGCATATCCGTCTGTACCGGATCTCGTGAATATTTGTCTCGGAACCGTGATGAATAGGCAGTGTCTACTCGAAGAAAGGTAGCATCTCGTGAAGAAAATGCAGATTTTTTAAAAAAATAACACTTTCTACGTCTGCTATGACATTACCCGACGTAGAAAGTACTTTCTACGTCGGGTATTGCCATAACCGACGTAGAAAGTTTAACATTTTATGTCTGCTATAGGTATAACCGACATTGATAACACATACAATCACTAGTCATCGTTAACCGATATAGATACTCGGGTTATAAAAAGTTAGAAAGTAAGACTTTCTATGTCTGCTATAAGTTTAACCGACATAGAAAGTATCATGACCGATCGTAACCAGTTATGACCGATCATAATAGCTCATACAAAGTAAGACTTTCTACGTCGGTTCCTCGACTAACCGACGTAGAAAGTCTTTCTATGACCGATCATAACCAGTTATGATCGATCGGAACTCGATTACTTTCTACGTCGGTTATTAGGAACCGACGTAGAAAGTCTTACTTTCTATGACCCCGTCTATATGTCGACGTAGAAAGCCCATTTTAACCGATGTAAAAAGCTTTTTTTTGCAGTAGTCAGCTAGGGTTCTGGTGAAGGAGGTGGGTGGCGGGTTATAGAGGTTAGTGAAATTGAGGGAGACGAAGGAAGGAGTTAGGGAGCTTGAGTGAGACGCGGAGGAAGTGTAGCGAGGTTTTTTTTTTTTTTTATTATTTAACATCCGTAGGTAAATGAGTAGGTAAAGTAGTAAAAAAACATTACCTACCTCCTACATCCGTAGGTAATGCATAATCATCCCATCCGTAGGTAAATTCCGTAGGTAATAGATAATTTATATACGAATATACTTTTGTAGGTAAAATTCGTAGGTACTGTAAAATTTACCTACGGATTTTTACCCGTAGGTAATAGGCTTTTTTCTTGTAGTATATATATATATATATATATATATATATATATATATATATATATAAATATATCAATATTATCCCCTCATATATTATTATACATTATTAGTGTAATTTTAATTTAATTAAAAATTAGAATACAAATATACTATACTATACTAATATACCATTATATTATTTTCATTGTATATAAAGTACAAAATTAATAATTTGTATACTATACTATACTAATATATAATTTGTATACTATACTAATAGTATAATATACTATATTATAATATTATTTGTATACAAAACTAATATCTTTATATCTTTATATATAAATATATAAATATGGAAAGATATAAATATATGTAAAAATATAAAGATATAAATATATAAAAATATAAATATATGTAAAAATATAAAGATATAAAGATATAAATATATAAATATATCAATACATAAATATATCAATATATAAATATATCAATGTATAAATATATCAATATTTAAATATATATTAAAATATATAAATATATTTTTATTTATAGATTTTATATTTATATATTTATACTGGATATACATTTATTTGTATATAAATATAATTTATTTGTAAGTTATTATTAAAAGATCCTAGTAGTTCGATGGTTGGAGTTTTAACCTCCAACTCTAATTATAATAAATAAATATAATTAAAAATGTAAATAAATAAAAATAATTAACTTTGTTATTGATTTAGCGATCGATTTAAATTGGTCGCTATTTTTTTAAACTTTATTATTGATTTAGCGACCGATTTAAATCGGTCGCTATTTTTTAAACTTTGTTATTGATTTAGCGATCGATATAAATCGGTCGCTATTTTTTTTAACTTTGTTATTGATTTAGCGACCGATTTAAATCGGTCGCTATTTTTTTAACTTTGTCATTGATTTAGCGACCAATATAAATCGGTCGCTATTTTTTTAACTTTGTCACCGATTTAGCGACCAGTTTGATATATTAATTTCGGTCGCTATTTTGCGACCAAAATGAAAATCGGTCGCTAACACATTAGCGACTTGGCTTTTTGCGACGACGCTTTCGGTCGCTAACCGATTAGCGACCGATTTTTTGACATTAGCGACCGATTTTTTCGGTCGCTAAAATGGTTTTTTCTTGTAGTGAGTAAAATTAATTTATTATAAATGTAATTATCTTTTTAAAAATAATATGGATCGGAGATGAGACAGAGAAGAGGAACCCGAAACCCAAAAGGGACGAAGATATAGACTTAATTTCTAACCCCGACGAAATCGGAGACAAGAACGGGGATGATTAAAAATGTTGGGAGCGGGGATTGGGGAGGTAAAACTAATATTAAAATCATAATAAATTTCCTACAAATTGCGGCAGATAATATCAACAACATGCATATTATTACCCATTCTTAATACAATTCTTTTAAATTTAATGTAGACAATATTTTTAATATAACAAAATTATCATGGTATTTTTACAATGGTATAACTAACATAAATTTTATAATATAAAAAGTTGTTCTCCAACATCTCAATGATGAAAAAATTTATCCGAGCATCATGTTAATAGTTGTAATAAACCCTATTAGAAACCTATTTATTAGTTATTTTTAAAAAGATTAATAAGAAGATATTTAAAAATAGGACATTAAGAAATTATATAAAAGAATATGATAATACGAGTTAAACATGATATAGTCAAGATGACTTTCAATACAAGATTATTATTCTACGGTTAGAAATTAGAATAATTATACAAAAACTTACAATAAAAATAAAAGACAATAAAAGAGAAACAAAACCAATAGTAATCATTAATAAAATTTTATTACCCAAAAAAATTATAATATTCTCTTTAAATTTTAGAAAAAAATAATAATAATAAAAGAGAACTCAATTATTGTGTAATGTAGTAAAAAAGAAAAAGAAGATTTAAGATTATTTCAAAAATAAATATCGTATTTCTTTTATAATAAAAAAAATAAGTACCAAGCATAATTTGTCTGACATAAAACATTTCTTCCCACATTTAGGCACACTTAGAATTTTAACATTACCTTCAACTGCATCTCTTTGTCTCAATCTTCTCTTTTCCTTTTTTTATTTTATTTTAAAAAACATATTGTTAAATAATACCTTTTTTTTTATGAATGTTCATTCATTTCATAATAAAATAAAATTTCCACAAAACAGATTTATTTAAAATATAAATAAATTTCAAAAGTTCAAAATTAATGCAACCACATGACGAACAACAATTTGTGAAAAACAAATTGTTAGAGTATTAAACTATGAATATAAAATGTTAAGAGATTAGTTATGAATCTTTCTTATTATTACTCAACCTTATTTTTTTTAATACAGAACGTCAAACTCCCCTTTAATTCTCAACTCAAATTGCATTGTCTAGTACCTTTCATTCACTCAGCAACAAACAAATGCTAAGTGACTTTGTCATTGGATTGAGCTTGCTCATTCTTTGATAACTTCAGCTTTAACAGAGTTACATTTGTCATAGCAGGTTAGGGTTAAGTCAACACAGTGACACTTAGGAGGGTTATCCCAGATGCAGTAACAAGTTCTGCATGCTGAGTGACTTGGAATCGGATTCTGTTGATACATTCATCACAACATGGTGAGGTTGTGGATTTCACATAGCTCTCAAAAGCACCTTCAGTGGGAAGAAGCTGAGTGATGAAGGAGTTGGATAGAAAGTTGCAGTGAACCCTAGCTATCAGGAAAAGCAACAAACCTACCTTCACCAATACCTTCAACTCCATCTCTTTCTCTCTCTCTCTCTCTCTGTAATAACGGTATCTTTCTCCTATTAGCAACAAACCTACCTTCACCAATATTGACCGACGAAAATATCCGTAATAATTACTAAATTTCCAATAACAAAATATTCGTCCCTAAATATTAGTTGGTGAAAAATGATTTTCTTGTAGTATTTTATTTTAAATGTAATAGTTTAAAAATAAATATTTATCAAATATATAATGCATAAGGTGAATGATTCATGTCAATAGTTCTCTTAACCTTCGACCAACATATATAAAATAAATTAATAATATTTTGTTTATAATAAAAACAAATAAATTTGTGTGTTTGAAACCACCAAATCATGAAATGTATAATTAAATTCATAAACAAGAACTGAATAATGAATCCCCATGATTGAAGACGCTCTGAGAATCGATTCCATAGTTTTAAAACGAGGAAACTAACCGAAAAATAACAGAAGAAAATTGAAGGAAACACTGTGGCCATAAACATAGCCAAGTTTTTATTTGATTGAAACTATTCTTTATTCCATGCATGCATACACTGAGAAGAAAGCCTAGTGGCTTTACCTCACATGACAGTGCTCATTCCTAGTGAGCATTATTGGCTTTGGAGGAGTCACATTTGTCATAGCAGAAGTCAGTTACATCATTACAAACACACACCGGAGGATATTTCCACATACACACGCAATTTTCACAACCTGAGTGACAGTCTAAGTCCCTAACATCATGGCATTCGCACTGAGGAGGGTCTGATTTTGTGCAAACACAATTATCACAGCATGCAGTGGAAGTGGATTTGACTCGGTAATTCGCACCACCGTTGGTGAGCACCTGAGTGATGAAGGAACTTGAATCATAACGAGCATCAGTAGTTGCTGCCAACCCCATCAGGAACACCACCAAACCTACCTTCACAAATGCCTTCAACTCCATATCTCTCCCTCACTTTCTCTTTCTAATACTTTTAATTTCTGGTGAAGAACCAAAGCATTACCAGATATATTTATATTACTATAGATATATTTATATAAGTCCTTAAGTTCCGAAATAAAATTAATTGATAATATATGAACTAATTTAATTTGTTTTTTTCAACAAAATTTATTCATCCCACAAATGGTATTTTTAACCCATAATAAAGGGACAATTATTAGTTCAAGATAACAATTGGAAAGAAGTTAACTTACCATATTAAAGTTTTAATAACATCTTCAATGAGAGTGGCTAACAAAAGTTACTTAAAAATAAAAGTAAAAATTTCATTATAGATTTTATACTTGAGTTGCTTAAAATTGGAGAAAGTTGTTTAAAATTATAAAAAAATTATTAATATTAATAATTCTGACCAAATTTTAAACAACTTATATATGAGTCCCATAATAAAATATTCATATTTATTCTTAAATAACTATTACTTAAAAATTCCTTTTGAAAATATCTTAACATAAAACTAATTGATATGAAATAAATGACTTTCAACATGTACTTTTATTGAGAAATCTAGTACAGATTAAAAATATAACATTATAATATATAAATATTTACTGAACTAAATTAATTTTATAGAATTAAGTATATTTCATTTTTTATAAAAATATATATGTTTAATACATACATTCAACGTGCTTATCTGTTTTTTTTTTTCTTTTTTTCTTTGCATATATTTTTAAGTGAAGATATTAGAATATTACTTACATTCAACGTGCGTTACTTGTTTTTTTTTTGTTTTTTTTTTGCGAAACTGAAGATATTGTAGTGAAAACATACACCGACATGTATGAAACCTCGTAAGAGTTTAAGAATTTTAAAGGAAAAGTTGCGCTTCCACATTAATTTGACAGATAAAAGAGAGATAGGAAGAAATGAAAATACTGTGAATGGTGATAAAAAAAATTGTGAAAGAATGAGTAAGATGAAAAAGAAAATAAGTGAATTCAATTCAATAATTACCCTTTTTAAACATGTGTTCGGATTAAATTTTCAAATTTATTTGGTATGAATTTATTACATGAATCGAGTATTGAAAATTGCAGAGATTTAGCATTTGTTTTGAGGAGCAAAGACAAATGGATGGTCCCATTGCTAACATGTGGTCCAATGTATTGAAACTGGAAAATGTCACTTCACCTTCAAATTATGAAAACGCTGGAAAACGCGGAGATGAACATATTTTTCACATTTTTGGACCACATCAATTCATTATTGTGAAGTAAACTATCCTTAGGTTTTCATATAGATTCTTTTCAACATTATATGGATGTAAAAATTGTGAGAGTTTTTGTATTAGTTGACAACTGATGAAAAGAAAAATAGATATATAATATTGATTGTAATAGATATAATATATTACTTTCTACATTGGTTACGGGCTATACCTGATGTAGAAAATAATATATTATTGGTTACTGGCTATACTGATGTAGAAAATAATATATTACATCCATGAATGTTATATCATCATAAAAAAAAAAATTCATATGTATCATACTTGTCTCAACATTTTTATATATAATCATTAATGGAGTGTTATTTGTTTTTTATAATTTTTTACAAAATATAACTCGATAATATGAATAATAATATAATATCAACAACTATTTTTTGTCAATTCTTAATAAAATTTATCATATAATCAGTAAAAGAAATAGAAGTGATATACTTATTTAAAACGATGAAAGAGAGATGCGTGGTGACAATGATATAGAAGAATAGTGACAATGTCGTAGACTGTAGAAAATAATTTCATTTTCATTCTTTTTCATGTTAAGATGACTACTAACAACTAAATAATTATGTGGTAACTTTGTTCCGTTGCGGTAGTTAAACAATCTTCATAGAGGAGAAACCTTAAAGAGAGAAAAAAAAGATGAGTTCTGGGGAAGAAGAGTTTCAAAAATGAGAAATTTTGGAGCGGATGATTTTTGTAGAGGACAAGATTTGACAAAGTGCAACATCGACGATATCACAACAAAAAAAGAAAGACACATGGTTCTTCATCTCAGTCTGATGTATTTGTCACTTAAAATAGAGGGAAAAGTAAAAAAAAGGAACAGAAGGGTGGTAGAGACAAGAATAGAAACAAATTTAAGACAATATACAAGAATGTTGAGTATCACTATTGTAATAAACATGAACACATTTAAAGATATTATTTTAAGTGGAGAAAAGAATAACAAATACAAGGACAAGAAGAAAAAGAATGATTGTGTTACTACTACAGGTGGTGATTTTGTTCTTCTTTGTGCTATGTGTATGTCAATCTTAGATCTGATGAGAACATATGGTTAATTAATAATGATGGTACACTGCATGTTATATTGAGGAATAAGTTCTTAAAATCTTACACTTCTAGTGTTTTGGAGCGTTAAAAATGGATAATGATGATAGTGTATCAAAGGTTGTTAGTATTAGTGATATGTGCTTGCAAACAAACATGAGAATGCAGTTATTATTCAGAAGAATCAAACATGCTCTAAATGTGTTTTAATATAATATTTATGCATTTGCTTGATGATTGTGGTTATGACAATAACTTTAATTCTAATAAATGAAAGTTCATAAAGTATAACTTGGTCATAACTAAAGGTGAGAAAAATTCTAAATTATACTGGACTAAAGTTTTGGTTGCTAAGGACAAGTGTGAATGTTACGCATATGGAGGCATTTTCGTGACACCGAAAACTTGGTCATATAAGTGAAAAATAACTTAATTACTTAGCTAAAAATAATATACTTTTGAGATTAAAAAGTACAAGGTTGAAAAAAATATTCTCATTCAATACTTGGTAAACAAACTTGAGTATCCTTTCAGAATCATTTTCCCTCGATAAAGTCAAAATTACTTAAATTCATACATTATAATGTTTGTGCCCATAAAAATTCGTCAATTATTATAAAATTGTCACTACGTTTATATTTAATTTAATTATCATATAATCAATATAGATAATACAATATAAAAAAATTGTAATATTGTGACTTTTATCATTTGATTTAATTTACTATCCACGTCTTTGTTGCTGTTTTCAAAATGATTTAAATCTTATTGTAATAAGATGTTTTAAATTTATTAACATATAAGATTGGAGTTTGTCAAACTTCTCTCTAAATATTTTTAAGAAAATAAAATTAAGTAAAGCAAATAATTTTAGAAGATAATATTAATTTATATATATATATATATATATATATATATATATATATATATATATAAAAGAATTTAGATAAGTTGTATAAGCAAGTTTATACAAATTAATTTATACACGAGACTAATTTTAGAGAAAAATATTTAATTTGTTTATTTTAAAAAATTATAAATAAACACTACAAGAAGTTTCCGATTTATCGATAGATATTTACAGACGGATGTAGAGCTATTGGAAAATGAGTAATTACCGACAAAAATTACCGACGGATTTAAGATAGTTGTGAAATTTGGTTTTACCGACGGATATATCCGTCGGTAAATGAACTATTAATTATCGATAGATATATCCGTCGGTAAATTAGGAGGAAGTGATTACTAACGGATATTATCGATGAATTTTTGAAATGTGGTTTTACCGACGGATAGATCCGTCGGTAAATTCAAACCTATTTATCTGCTCAGAATATTGTTATCTTGTAACCTAAACGAGATCTCGCCAGTTTCTCACTTTATTCCCCTGATTCCCTCCTGGCAGCCTCCAAATTCAGGTGTCACACCACCTTATGACGGTCACAACCACTCACCATCAGTCGTAGCCCTTCCGCGACGCCTATCACCTCCACCTCCACTATCAGTGACTCGCGGCGTCACCTCCCACGTCTCATCATCTCCTTCAATTCTTCTCCTTCACCAACCTCACTTACTCTCGCCCCACCCTCACCAAAAATCACTCTAACACCCCCATCTCCGTCAGGCGATCCCTAGCTTGGGTCGCCTCCACCACTAACTGCAAATCGTCTCCCTACCCATCCACTCACCATGGATCGAAGCAGCAGTCAGTCCCCTTGTCGAAGGTGAGGGCATGAACTAGCTCCCCTGTGAAGGTTGAACTCGAGGTCAGGATCCGTATTCTGGGTTTGTTTTTGCTTTATGTTTGTACCTTATTCTGATTTAGCATTGTAGGGTTTTGCTTCTCATCTGCTATTCGAAGAAGAGTAATGGCAATTTGTAATACAGAGTGCAAAATGCTTTTAAATAATGGAAAAAAATACCCTAAAACAAATGAAGATGTTGTTTTACCCGATCATACACTACACCCAATTTCCTCACCCATTCCAATCACACCACCTAAAATGAACGTATCTGAAGGCCACAGGAACCAACTTTCCTCAGGTTTCGATTCAAATGCGCCATCTCAAAAACCCCTGAATCTGCTTTGAAGAGCCCCTCGTCTGTATTGAACCCTCCATCCTCCCTAAAAAGGACTATTTGAGACTACTTTTCAGCTTCTCCTAAAATCATGTAGGCTTGTTAAACCAACCAAATTCCGTGATCAAGTAACAAAATTTTTGCACATAATGTTTTCATGGTTGGAATTTCTCGAAGGATTTTGCTTGTGATGGTGTAGTCTTATTGATTGGGACCATGCTGAACATTTTTATTTCTAATTGGAGTCTGCTGGATTTTGTTTAGGGTTTCATTTTTGCATAATTTGCCTTATTTCGTTTTTCTGATTGTGGACTGAGTTGCTTGGTGATTTCAGTATAGTTATGCCTTGGTTTTGATGTGTCTCGACCTTATTCTGATTTGGCATTGCATTTATGGTCGAGGGTTTTACTTCTGATGATTTATGATCGAAGGATTTTACTTGTGATGGTGTAGTCTTGTTGATTGGGACCATGCTGAACATTTTTATTTCTAATTGGAGTCTGCTTGATTTTGTTTAGGGTTTCATTTTTGCATAATTGGCCTTATTTCGTTTTTCTGGTTGTGGACTGAGTTGCTT